AGAACTTCACCCTCTATCTGGCTGAATGACTCCTTGGATAATTCATAACCAGTAATGACCTTGCAATGCTTTCTCTCTTAACTGAAGTGCAAGATGAATGTGATATGCTGCTAAAGGCCTGATCTAAAGCCCACTGAAGTCAGTGACTTTAGGTGAGGCCCAAACTGCAGAGTGATATACAATCAGAGTTTGATTTACTGATCCAATTTAGGAAAAAGGAACAAAACTGAAAAGGTGATTCTACAATGGTAGATATCTTCTATCTGAGAGTGTGTTGAGGGGGAGGGAGGGTTGCGAAATCCAAATGTCAGTGTGAGTTAGCAGTAGCGTGCAAAGGCTTCCAATTACCCCCGGGCCAATTCTGCATTGAAAACCACACACCATGTTGTATTGTGGAAGAGATCTTTTCTTCCTATGTTTGTTTTTTTTTCCTCCTCTATAATAGTAGTTGCTGTGTCACAACAAGGTGATATTTAATCCAGTACCTGTCAAGTTAGTATGAGTTTCAAATACCCAACCTGAATATTTAGATACAACTGCTAGAGCAGATTTTACACATACACACAAAGGCAATTGGTTTTCAGCTTACATAGGTGGATATGTATATTGTGGACTACCTCTGGTTGAAAACTGTAAGTAAGATGCCCTCCCTCAAAGTGTGACATATTCCTTTTAACAATTTCCTTAAATTCTAATAAAGATGTTTTGTAATTACTTCCACACCTATCTGGTAGGGTTACCATATTTCAAGTTCCCAAATAGAGAACATTGGTGGAGGGCAGGGGGGCTGAAGGAGGGGTAAAGTTTCTACTGTACAGTTTCTTTCTACTTTGAATATCTAACATTTATAAATAACAACTGTAATAGCCTCAAAAATGAAGGTAAATCACATTTTAATGTACCTTTTTACATGCAGTCAGTCCTTTCCAACTGCACTTCTTCCTGTTGTGCCAATGCATATTTCTCTGTAAAGCATATCTTTCTCAGCAGTGGTTGATTGCTCATCAAGCAGGCATGCAAATCTCTGCAAGATGCGTGCCTGAAGTTGTATTGTACAAGCAGGATCCCTTTCAAAGACTCAACAGTCAATACCGTGCTACCTTTACTTCTGCACTGCTGCTGGTGGCGGCGCTGCCTTCAGAGCTGGGCTCCTGGCCAGCAGCCACCGCTCTCTGGCCACTCAGCTCTGAAGGCAGTGCTGCCACCACGAGCAGCACAGAAGTAAGGGTGGCAAACCAGTAAACACATACGCCCCTATTAGGGCACACCAGGAATTGCAGATCTTCCAAAATCAATGTTGGAAAAAGGATGAGCAAGGAAAAATCACGGACATATGCTCATATTTCAAAAATCCACTCGGACAGAGATCAGAGGACCAAAATAGTATATCCGTATTAGACTTCTAAAATGTATTTACGTAAATATCTAGTGCCTAGTACACAAACAACAACTTTGCCACGTTCATGGACCAAACAGTGAACTTGTAAGTATAACCCACATGCCTCCTGTGTGTGATGTTCTGTCCCATCTAGTGGCACTGAGACCACTTAGAGTGAGAGAGATTAATTACCATATGTAGCCCAGACACCTCCTGGGTGTGGTATTCCGTCCCATCTAGTGATACTGAGACCACGTAGAGAGAGAGAGAGAGTTAATGAGTCTGCTCCACTGCCTGAGCTAAGAGCCATATGGCTTTTATCTCATGCAGTAGAGGCTCATGCATTTAGCTCCAGAGGTCCCGGGTGAGCCCCCACTTGTAACACCAACAGACCCCGGTGGTCGTCGGGTGGGATTGAACCTGGGACCGCTGGAGCTACAGTAATTGTATAGTAATTGTAAAGTTTTTTCTTTTTTATTTAAAGTTGTGCATGTGCGAGTAGTGTGGATGCTGAAACAACTGGTTTTGTAGTACACTTAAATATTTTATTTAATTGTCAATATAATACCCAGGGTGAGCTTATGTGAGAGCAGAAGATCTCAGAAGTCCCAAAGCCTATTTTGATTTTGTAAGATATTATAAATATATACTGGGGGTTTAGGCCCTGTGTTATATTCTTCATTTTAAAGGAAAAATAACAAATCTCTACTTAGTGATGTTAGTCTAGCTAGGGTGCATTGTAACTGCTGTGCTCTAACGGTTCATACTTAGAGTGTTGTACATAAAAAGGAATTTGAAATTTATTAATTCTGAGTGTGTGTGTGTAACTGTCTTATGGTGAAGACTGGTACTGGATTCCTAATAAGAGAAAGAAAGTCAATCCTGTTATAATTTCCACTTTCGTTTTTGAAAAGTTTCCTATAAAAAATCCAGCTGTCGTCTCTTGCAAGGATAAGAATTCATGGTCTGCGCAAATACTTTGTCAGAGAAAGAAACTATGTACACAGAATTGGAAAATAAATTGATTTTCCTCCCCTCTACATAGGTTACATGAAGGGAACATGCTGTGAGATAAGAATTGCTTCTTAGAAGGAGGGTATGTATTTTCGTATTCTGTTGCTTTGTCTTTAGACAATAAATGTAGCTAAGTTTGGTTACTGAGAATTAACTGTGAGTGTACTCAAACAACCTTTTCCTCAACAACTGTAACAGACAACAGCTAATTTGTGGCATTGCAATTATTATGGCATGAGCTGCTGATTCATGCTGTTTGGTGATGGAATATGACTTTGGCAAGATGTGTGAGCACATTGAGGTTATAGTATATGACTTTGGCTGTTTGGTCCATATTCTGCAGTGCCACCAGCCTCTTTTGTCATCAGTTGCTTTGTGTGGAAAGTGGGGACGTATTCAAAATATGTTACTTTTGGGAGTATGATGAGGACTGTGTGGGGCTAACAGGAGCACTCTGGCCAGTGACAACCAGTCAGAGGGGCTGCTGGAGCGACCAATCAGGGATGAGAAGGGCCACCTAAAAGGAAGCAGCAGCACCAGAGCAGTCAGTTGCTGCCTGGAGCTGGAGAAGAGAGCCGTGTGTTCCTGGTTGGCTGAAAGAGGAGCAGGACCATGGACAGCCCAGTGCTGGCAGGGACCGGGGGAGCAATGGAGCTCCTGGCTGGTTGCTGGGACTTAGCCTCAGACAGTTGCTGGCAGGGACCTGGGGAACAATGAAGGAGCTCCTGGCTGGCTGCTGGGACTGAGTAAGAACTGCGCCCAGGGAGGGCCACAGGAAGGTAGTGTCTCCAGGGAGGAAGTCCTGGGAGTATGGCCCCATGCCAGGGCTGGGACTACTTAAAGATTGAGTCTGGGAAGGGCTAGAGAAACACCGACCGAAGGGTACTGAGATAGGCCCCTGGGGGACTGTACACGCTGGAAGGCGTCTCTTCTGATTCACATACAGACAGTATGTGTGACTTGCCTGAAGGGCTGAGTCGCTGAAAAAACACCTGAGAAACCACCAACAGGGGTCACTGCAGACAAACCCAACTAGAAGGGAGCGCTCACGAAAGATTGGTGCCACCCCATTAATCAGATTATGAATGAATATATTAAATAACACTGGTTCTAATGCAAATGCTTGGAGGCCCTAGAGCTAACAACTTTTGCCATGATGAAAATTGACCACCTATACCTGCTTTTTGTTTTCAGTCGCTTAGACAGTTTCTAATGCATGACTATTTAGTTTTTTAATCATCTAGTGTAAGGAACTTTCTCAAGGGCTTGTTGGAAGACCAAATAAATTATAGCAAAAAGTTCTTCTTTATTCACAGTTTTGTTGTCATACTCAAACAATCATAGTAGATGGGAAAACACATTTTGTTTTTTTCCTCACACAATACCTAGATGGCCATAATTTAACTGCATTTAAATATCATTTCACCAATTTTTCTGGTACTGAAGGCTCAATAGTCTGTAATTCTCAGAGTCACCCCAACATCTTTTAAAAAATAGTTATAATACTTGCAACTGCCCAGTTCTTTTCTAGTGTAAGATGATTAATATGAGCATACTTTCATTTGCAGCTCAGCCACTACATTTTCAAATTTCTTCGGAACACTTTGTCTACCATTCATTCCTGTTGACGTTGCCATTTAGTATATAGGTTTGTTCTAGAACCTCCTCTTTTCGCACGACGATGTGATGTCACCTCATCTTTATAATTTGAAATGAGCATGTTTCTCAACATCCGCTCCATCAATTATCCTCCTGCCCCCCAGGAAAAGCTTGTGAAAAGGGTGCCTGTATCTTTCAGTTTGCCCTGAAGATCAGCAAATCTGGGTTGTTGTGGAGTGAGGAAGTCCTCCTGGATTCCCAGGACCCCCTTCCCCATCATTATTACAAGGGGAACAATGAAGAAATGTGAATAATAAAAATGTACTAACCATGAAGTTGTGTATGTTCAGAGGAGTATCTCTGGCACTTTATTTGAGAGGGAAAAGGAGCTGGCTTCACACATTACTTTGTTCCCTCCTAACCCCAGCGTGGAACCAAGAATTTCCCTGTACTTCCAGCTCTCTCCCTCTGTATCCCAGCATCCTCACTCTCTCACCACGGCCCTCCAAGTTTTCGAGCTCTCTTCCCTCTGCATTGCATCATTATCTCTTCCTTTGCTGCCCACCAGGCTTCTGGATTAGAAGAGCCCTTGGAAATAATCTTGTAGGAGTGTAGCAACATCTTTCAGGGCTGTTATCTGCCTGTGCCAAGAGAAAGTCAGAGCACAGCTATTTGTGTTTGACTCCATCTGTTGTGCTTACTGCCTTCAGATGTTGTAAAGGTCCTTGGCTGAACTGCTGCTGCCCATGTCCAGAAGCCTGGCTGGCAGCTCAGCGAACGAAATGCACCGCAGCCACAGGCAGCCTTTCAGGTCAGGGAGCCTTTATAATCCAGGCTAAGCCCTCCACTGGCCATGGATTTTGTGGGCCTCTAGTTTTGGGGCTTAGTAAGAACTACAGCAAATAGATGAGAGGAGTGTAGAGGACAAAGAAAGAGACTGATGAAAGGAAATAGCCAGACGTAAAAGGAGAATGCAGAAGAAGAACAAAATATGACAGTAAGAACATAGTACGTTTTCATTTTTTTATTTTATAGAAAGTTGCGTCAAAAATATGTTTAAGTATATACATTAATAATGCAATACATACAGGTTCATGTACAATATATACACAGTAGCAAAACATCCTTTCACCTATATTTTATCTCTGGTGGTTAACACCATGAGTCAGAGCCTTCTGGCATGTTGTTTTATCTGCTTTCATCTTAGATCTATCTACAAGGAAAAGCATAGATGTTAAAGATGGAAAAGATCTATTAGAACACCTAGTCCATTCCCCTGCATATGCAAAAATCTTCTTTACAGTGTATTTATTCGTGCATTGTCATATAAACTGGGCTTTCAGCACTTTCCTTGGGAGACCCCAGTTCACAGCCTAATACATCTTACTGTCAGGACATTTTTTTTTTGACGTTCACCCTAAATATTCTCTTTCTTAACTTCATCCTGTTACTTATATTTATATCCCCTTAAACCAATCTAAATAACTTCTCTATCTCCACATTTAGACCCTAACATTTGTAGACTATTAGTATATGCTCTGATCCTTAGTCACTGCTCAGACAGGAAAAAATATACAGCTCTGTTAGTTTTTTCCACTGTAAATGAGTTCTTCAATAACTTTGTTTCTCTTCTGTGAACTCCCTCCAATTTGTCAATATCTTTCTGGGAATGAGATGCTCAAAATTAAAAGTAGTATTTCTGATGTTTCCTGCACCCAAGCTTGCACTGGCCCATATGTCACTAACAGATTTCTTGGGAAGCCAGGAGTCAACAACAACAACAACAAAAACCCTGCAAAGAATTTTGGGAAAAGTCTGTCTCTAAGGTTTTCAAAGACAGAGGTCCCTTTCAATCCTACTATCCCTCCCTATCCTTTCCAAAGTCAAGCTGGCCTGCCAGCTGCTTCTCTTTGATCAGCCACAGTGGAACACTCATAATTCAGTGGACCAGGCTAAAGGGGGTGGTCAGCTCTCAAAGGCAGGTACCATGTTTACTGAGTGGCTACAGCACCCACAGCAGGAACATACTTCCTGTTGTACTGTCTCTCCAAGTCAGACACTATGGGGAGCAGCTGGTATCTTTGTCCTCCACAGTGCCTTCATCAAAAGAACTGCCCTCCAGGTCAAGAGAAGCAGGAGCCCCCCATACCCGCCCCCCTTCATAACCCGCTTTCTAGTCCCTGGAGAGAAAGAGAAGGGACTCCTCATGTTCAGTAAAAAAAGGGATATTTGGGATTTGTGAACCAACTAAACTTTGTAAAGCCAGGGCACTGGCAGAAAGGAGCCCTGAAGAGGAGGTCATCCGGTGTCCATCTCCTGCACCTCCTCTCATGAGGTAAAACGGAATAGGGCAGGTGCAGAAAGAAGAGCCAGAGGGGGCTAGGTGAACAGAGTGGGAGTTGTGGGAAATGTAGTGGAGAAAGACACACAACTTTGTTGAAGTGACAGTTTTTCACCTGAGTGGTGCCAGGTGATTTTATCGGCCTTCGGGTTACTGTAATTTGCGTTTTCTCTCACACCCTTCGAAGAAATACTCTAAAATTCACCAGACCACATATAGAACCCGGTGGGGGCTAATATGGAGAACTGCCCTGGCAAAATGCTTACATGCTGGCAACCACACCCCTAATGTCTCCAGAGGAGAAAAGATGCTCCAGGTCCCCCATGCATCTAGGCCAAAAGAAACCTGAGCCTCCTCCCAACCCCTTAGAGATAAAAGTGAGCCTTAGCTCCCTCTTCTCCCCGCCTCCCCTTAATAGGGCAAAAGAGCAGCAGCTCCTGAGGGAACCACTCCTGCTGATCCAATAGTATCCTCAGCCTGGATCAACAAAGGGAACCCCTTTGGGGTTTAGGTGCCTAAGTCTCTGTAGATCTGGGCCTTTGAGTCCCTGTTTTTTCATCCCTCTGAAGGCTAACACTATCTGCATCCTAACACTGCATTGTTTGTCCTTGTTTTAAACCACTCAGGGTCCCTTGGATTATAGTAAAAAACCTTCTTCTGTCTGGAAGACTAAAGATCTTTCTCTCATATGTATAGATGGGTGTTTGGTCTGGGCTGTGAAGCTCCTCTTGGTTTTATTTTTGGCATTATCTTAAATAGTGTGTCCATTATCTGGTTATTGAGAACATTTGTATTATTTTTGAACAAATGTTAATCCATTCTGAACTACAGTAGGACATGCATATATTTTATAATATCTTAAATCTGAAGATATTGAAGCATTTTGAATTTTTTTTCTATACTGTGGGATTTTAATTACAAATCAGAAAATTGGCCCCAGACCTCTATTCCTCTTCCAGTATCTTTGCCAACTGTTGCTAGGGTCTGAACAAACTATTAAGTGTCACTTCTGTCTGCCCATTTTCTACTGTCCCTATCCTCCAGTGTCTGCCTGAACTGCTATGAAGGGTCCACTTTTACTTCTTGTCAGAACTCCTGAAATCCTGTCTGGAGCCCTGGTTGGAAGTAGGAGCTGGTGAGTTTCTGCCTTGATGAGACTCCATGCTGAAAGAAGTTGGTGTGACACCACTTTGCTGAGCTTGTGTGCTGTGGGGAGGAGGAGCCAGAGAGCTGTCACCATGCTGAACTGGTGTGGGAGAAGCCAGTGAGTCATCATCCTGCTGCTCTTTTGCACTGGAAACAGGAGCTGATGGGATGGTGTCCTGAGTACTGGGAGGAGGAGCTGGCGAACCACTGTTGAGACAATTAATATCTAAACAAGGGGTTATTGAAAATAGTTTTGAGACTCCTACTGCAGCAGAGTCTGTTTGTTTATTTAACTTTAGCTCATGTCCTCCCTTGGCACTGTCTCTTTTTCCTTGTGTCTCCTCAGCCTGATGGTTTTCAGATGAAGTTTTTTTCTCTCCGCTTAGGACCCAGTAGTGAAGCATTTGTAGATCTGAATTGTGGCCTGGATTTTGATGTGGTTTTTTTTATTTGCTCCCTGCTGTGCCACCAGAATGAATTGGTTATTGGCCTGTGCATGAGTTGTTACTGTAGCATTGCATTATCTGCTCTATTTTTCTTGGACTCCCTTCCCGGCACTTAATTTTGGGGACGTGTACTGAAGGGGCTACAGGTCTACTGAGAACTTTTAAATCCCTCTTTTCTAATTCTGGAGTATGGTTTTACATTCTCAATTGATCATTTTGGAAATAATTATCCTGAAAATATTTTTTCCCTTTGGGTAAGCAAATTTTACATTAATGGAAATCTGGGCAGGGCAATGGCCTATATATATATAATAGGAGAATTCAGAGGTTCATCTTGTCCCTACTGCCCAAATATAATATTACTGGAAACTGGTATCCAATCTTTAGTTCTTAGAGGACACCTCAACTAACACTGTTATTTTATTTATGGCTTCTTCCTTCGTTGTTGTAACTGAATCAGTATAGACTTGTGTTTGACCATACAGATGTTGGAAGTACTTTTAAATCAGTGTTGATACAGCCGTTTTAGGGCCAGAAGACTTTAGGAACGAGTGGTCAAAGAATAAAAAAAGACATTTTCGTCTTTAATTTTGTGTATGGCCCAATCCATCTAGGATATTATTACTAAGTACTTTTTAAAGGAAAAATAATCTACATTATAAAGATACTGTGATAGTTAATTATATAATACTCTTTTTTGTTAATAAAATAAAAATAACAGTACTTAGCTCTTATACATTCTGATCAGCATCCATTGGATTAGTGGAAATTTTACCATTGGTTTCAATGAGCATTGTATTGGATATAAATGCATTTTTTAAAAGAGATGGTAAGTATTATTTAAAAATACTTACTGCCAAAAGATCTTCCCTTTTAATTATTAAAAAACAATTGGGAAAGTTATGATGGTATTATATCTAGCACTACCTGCCATAGTTTCAGGAATACTTGTATCTTTACTGCAGCAGAGGAAGCAAGAAAGCAGCAAAGTTTGTGGATCATCAGGCCAGAAAAAAGGGATGGATATAAAAGAATCAATTCCCTGCCATTGCAGGGGCCTTGGGCATTGGTACACTTTGATCCCTCCTATTCTCTGCCTGTGGCATGTGATAGATTAGTATTCTGTGGGCTGTAATACTTTGGTCTATTTTCAGTTCTTGGGTTTAGTGTACTGGACTGGGTGGTGTTGGTGACCTGTGATATTCAGGAGATCAGACTAGATGATTTGGTGGTCCCTTCTGGTGTTAAACTCTGTGAGCATTCAGTACTCACAATGGAGACCAAGTGTGTCTCCTTTTCTTATAATGTATATAGTGTTTATATTATTTTTCACAACCTGTGTGAATTTTTTAAAAATATACTTTCCAATTTTCATTTAGTTTTATAACATTGTTTGAGGCTATTGCTGCTTTCATGAAACAAAACAGAATACTACAGTGAACTGACACATGGTTTGTAATACAGCTAACAAAGGGCTAATCTACACATGAAGATTAATCCAGAATAAAGTAGTGTGTGAGTTTAAAACAGATAAACTATTTCTGATTATCTCCATGTGTAGATGCTAATATTCCAGAATAAGAGTGTTTTATCCCAAATTAACGTAACCCACTGTGAATCCATTTTGGAAGTGGATTAAGTTTATTTGCAATAAGGCACTATTCTTATTCTCCATCCACAAATGGAGTTAATCAGGAATAATTTCCCATGTAGACAAGCATAATGATTGTTTTAAGGGGCCTTCTCATCCTTGGGAGAAATAGCAAAAATATACAATACAGTAAGTTGTATTCTGTCCTTGCTGGTGTATTTATATTTTTTGGGTTATGTGTTGCCTTATTGGTTATCCAGTGAGGAAAAAACAAATATGGAAATTCTTTCACTTGCTATTATCTCAGTGGTTCTTAAGTAGTAAACTGGTGGTCAGTGGAGCACTTCCATGAGGCTTGGTGAGTAATAGGTATCATAATAGATTAGTGCAGTGTCTGTTAGTTTTCAAGCTTCTTACAATTTATAGTGCAGTCACATACTGTAATAGGATTTGGATTATTATTGGACCAATTAAACTACAAAATATAGAGTACATCTTTTTATCCTATATGGCTGCTTCATCTCTTTCTTTTGTTGAATATTTCTTTTAGCATAAATTCAACAGCGATCATATTTATAGAGGACACCAAAACTGTAGGGGCAGCAAACACATTATCCATACAGCTGATACTGTTAAACTCAAGCCTCCCTTCCTGGGGTTAATCTTTATTCATAATTAAAATAACAAAACCTTAAGGCAAGACTGCAGTTACCAGTCTAGTCCTGAGAACTGTGTGAGTAAACCCCTATGACCAGTCACAGAATTGCACGATCAGGGTCACAAGCCTAAGTCCCAAACCCTCCTGAATGGGGAGTATGGTCTGTCTCTGCTGGAAGTCCTACTCCTCTGTGGATCCCCTCTTTTGTCTCAGAGAGACTCTGGCCTTTTCCATTCCTTAGTGAAGCTAATGAAATCCACTTGTTCTGGACAAAGAGCAGTCAGCAGATCAGCTCTACACTTCCGTACATGGTTTTATAGCCAGACAACAGATTACAGTTAGATTGCCTCAGAATTCTATCTTCTACCTGACTAGAACATTGTAGGGTGAGATCCTTACCTCCTCTCCAGCCCCTTTACACCAGATACAAGGAACAGTGCAGCATAAAGCGTTCCTAAGGCTATGTCTACACAGCAGTGTAAACCTGGGCTTGAGCCTGGGCGCAAGACTAATCCTCCTTGCACCCACCCACTAATTGTATTAACTTAGAGCTCCCAGGTCCCACTGGATGGTCCGAGACAGTGTTAAACTGGGACCTAAGGTCTGAGTCCCATTGCTTTCCTGTGTGCTTGACTCAGGTCCTGGAAGTCCCCTGGGTGTATCCCAGAGTTCCCTGCGGCAGAACAGCAGCACTGCAGGCAGCCAGAGCAGCGACTGGAAGTGCCATTATTGCTTGGCCAAGCGCGCTCCTCATTCCTGCTCCTCTCGTGGTGGTAGCTCCAGCTCCTCCTGGCTGCTGTGCAGAACTTGCCCTGAGCAGGGAGCAAAGCTGACAAGTGGGAGGCAACTCCCAGCTGCTAGGACGCTGGGGTCCATCGCTTCTTTGGCTGTGCTGAGCCAAAAGCTCCGCTGCTTCCCCCTCCCTGCAGGGGAGCCACTTGGTTCCTGCTCCACTCTGTCCCTTGCTCCCGGACCCCCCTGGGGTTGTGTGTGCAGAAGGACCTGGACTGTATGCACTGTCAGGGTGGTGAGTGGGAGCCAGCCCCAAAACCTCCCCACAGCCTCCCCTGGTAGTGGCTCTGGCTCCACCTTGCTGTGAGGAAATTTGGGGGCTGGCTCTCACTTGCCTCCCTGGCAGTGCATGCAGTCCGGGTGCTCCTGCACACACAGCCCCCTGGAGGGCAGTGGGGGGGGCAGAGAGCGGAGCAGGGACCAAGCGGCTGCCCTGCAGGGAGTGGGAGCAGCCAGGATGTTGGGGGTCGCCCTCCTCCCGTGCTGAGCTGGGAGCTCTTCTCCCTCTCTCTGGAGGGCAACTGCTTGGTCCCACTCCATTCTCTGGCCCTTGCTCCTGGCCCACCCTGGGGCTATGTGTGCAGAGGTGTCTGGGCAGCATGCACTGTAAGGGCAGAGAGTGGGAGCTAGCCCCAAAACTTCCCTGCAGCCTCCCTGGGAATCCTTTATCCCTGCCTGCCGGGGTGCAGCAGGAGCAGGTATAAGGTTCCCTGGGGTGTGCTGGAGCACACTGTACTGCACCAGACTGGTGTGTGTGTTTTTCCTCTGTTTTTCCATGTTTACTTTGACTCATGCCTGTGCACTGCAGTGTGGACAACAGAGCCCTAGGTTCGAGCATGGGTCAGAAAATTCTTAACTGAGGGTTAAAATGCAATGTAGATGATCAAGCCCAGGGTTCCCTGACCTGACTTGAGTCCCACTTACCCTAGGCTTACACTGCTGTGTAGCATATCCTAAAAGTCTTGTATTTGGTTGCTGGAGTTCCCCTGGTGCAGATCAAAGACAGCTGTATGGCTGCTTTCTAAGGGCCCATTTGTAAGCCCTGGTGTAAAGGGCATGCCAGGGGTAGGACTGGTGAATGTAGAGATGTGTTAGAGGTGAGACCATAATGTACAGTATTGCTCAGATAAGATTCTGAACAGCACTGTGGTTCACACAGCAGCGTGGGGATGCTGCTGTAACACAGACAAGCTTCCAAGGTGGTCTAAATTATGCTGGGGGCCACTCCACTGGAGCAGCCCAGGATCAGGCAAGTCCTGGGCTGTGAATTCTGTGCTGTCCCTCTTAGAGGCGCAGCACAAAATCTCACCTTCAGTGTTTATTCATAGATAGGAGTTGACAATAGACTATATGTACTTTACTGTTAATGCTTTTATTTTTTCTCTGGGACCAGTGAGAATTTTGTATCTGTGAGTTTTTGGTGACTATGGATTGTGTAGTTTTGTTTGTACTACATTGTATGTAATCTCTGTTTTACTACCACACAGAATGTCTTGTAAAATATTCAGATCAATAAAAAGTAAAAAGCCCAAACCCTCGATTGTTTGCCGCTTTGATCAATGTAATATGCAAACTGGGCTACAGAGGATGAAGGTCTGAAAGAATGACTTAAGACTCAGAGATGGAAAGCTGAATTTTGAAGTGGTAGCTACAGAAGAAACAATTGAAACCCCTCTCCCAGATCGAAATATGCCCCCTCCAGCGCTACACTTAAGTGAATAAAAATAATTTTCTTATTATGTTTCAGATGTATTTACTGCCTGCTCACCTGCAGCTCCACTGTGATTCCCCAGAATCCCCTATCCAAGGCCAGAATTTTCATGGCATGGTGCCTCTGTCTAACCCTGTCTGTGAAACCCTGATTTTGTTTAGTGATACAAGTTATTAACATGTGCTGGTTGATATGATATTGAATTAGTTTCCAAGGTATCTGTTAGATTGTAAACTCTTTGGAGCCCGGCCCATTGTTTGGTTATAGTCTTAGCGTTATATATTATCTAGTACAGATGGCCCCTCCAGTCCATAAATAGGGCCTCTTGGCACCACTGCAATACAAACAATGAATAACAATTGAATAATATATTCAGCAAAGCATTTCTGATAAACTTTAGAACTATTTGAATAGAGCAAAATACACCTGGAGAATAAATTATGTGACAAAAACCAGTAAATTTGTCAATACCTTTCATTAATATTATATGACTAATTCTATTTGGTAAGGGGTTCCTTCTAATAATGAAACATAAATTTGGCTCATGGTGAACTTTCAGTCTGTGAAAACATATAACAGTGTTTCTGTCACTTTCTGAAAGGTTTATAGATAATGCTTTGTAGACTGTGATAGTTTGTAACTGCATATAGTTTTTGTTACACAGTATCTAGATTTATGTAGATATTACTGTTCTTGCATTATTAAGGCATACATTGTAATTAAGTTAGGGAGAAGAAAGCAGTTAACAGAAGACTGAATTCTGCAATAATCTACTAGATCTGAAAATGAAAAACATCTAAAGCAGAGGTGGGCAAACTACGGCCCACAGGACCCTCCTGCCTGGCCCCTGAGCTCCTGGCCCGGGAGGCTAGACCCTGGCTCCTCCCCTGCTGTCCTCCCTCCCCTGCAGCTTCAGCTCACTGCGCCGCCGGCGCAATGCTCTGGAGGCTGGGCTGCGAGCTCCTGGGGCAGTGCAGCTGCAGAGCCCGGCCTGACCCGGTGCTGTGCGGTGGCATGGCTGGCTCCAGCCAGGCAGCGCGGCTGTAGCACCGCCAGCCACCGGTGTTCCATGCAGCGCGGTGAGAGGGCAGGGAGCAGGGGGGGTTGGATAGAGAGCAGGGGAGTTCGGGGTGGTGGTCAGGGGGCGGGGGTGTGGACAGGGGTTGCGGAGGTTAGAGGGTGGGGAACAGGGGGGTTGAATGGGGGCAGGGGTCCCGGGGGGGGCAGTCAGGAAGGGGGGCTTGGATGGGGTGATGGGTGGCAGTCAGGGGCAGGGGTTCTTGGGGCGGTCAGGGGACAGGGAGAAGGGGTGGTTGGATGGGGCAGAGGTTCTGGGGGGCCTTCAGGAATGAGAGAAGGGATTGAATGGGGCAGCAGGGGGCAATCATGGGCGGAGGTTCCGGGGGCGGTCAGGGGACAGGGAGCAGGAGGGTGGATGGGGCAGGGGTCCCGGGGGGGCTGTCAGAGAACAGAGAGGGTTGGATGGGGCAGGAGTCCGGGGGGGCGGGGTGTCAGGGTAAGAAGCAGCTGGGGGGAGGGGGCAGGCCATGCCTGGCTGTTTGGGGAGACACAGCCTCCCCTAACCGGCCCACTATACAATTTCCAAAATCCGATGTGGCCCTTAGGCCAAAAAGTTTGCCTGCTCCTGATCTAAAGTGAAGTAGGGACCCCTATAGGTTGCTCTCAGAAGGTGGCTGGAAACATAGTGAGTTTGCACTTGGTTTGGTATGCCCTATGGTTTTGGAGTGTGGTGATGCCCTGGTGAGCAGCTGTCCTCCCAGCCCTCTCCCTGGCTCCCTAGTCATGGTTCCAGTTCCTCATGGAGCTCTCACAAGAAGAGCTTCCATGAGGCTGGAGGAGAATGCCGAGGAGCCAGTTTCCCATGCCTGTGGAAAATGAGAGGAGAATTTTGACCTACAGATTTTATTACTCGGGTACTTTGTGGCAATCCTACTCTATCACTTTTAACCCAACTGTAACAAGGACAGTTACAGCGCTAAAACAAAAATCCTTATACCACAATGCATCACAATTAAAAATAAAATATTCCAGCATTAGTAACATATTTTTTAAATTGAATGCAAAATGCCATGCAAATAAACATGGCCACTCAGTTTATGATAGTGCTTTGAAGACTGCTTGAGGCATCAAGAAGGCCTAGTGGCTTGAAACACTGGGGTGTGAATCTTTGATACAATTCATCTTGTCGCTGCAATAACAAGATCTTTGGCACAATATAACAGCTCTGATAATGCCTAATCAATATTTCACATAAATTTAAAAGGTGGTGTGAGTCACAGGTATGTAGTATTGATGCCGAAAAACAAGAGGAGTCTGACAGAAGTACTGTATGCAACACAGATGTGTCTGTTCCATTGGGCCTTTATGTGAATTGACTTTTTAGTGGTTGACAGTGATGTAGGAGAATGTGGACCTTTGGGAGGATATTTCTTTCCAAAAGTCCTAACATAAGGTCAATAGTTTTGTCCCTCATTAAAGAGATTTTCTCCAAAAATCTCCACTCTTGTTGACTTACATAGTGTCATATAGGTCTCACTTTCTATTAAACTCTATTTGTTTTGAATGACACCTGAAAACATTGTAATAGAAGTTGGTGACTTCATTAAAAACAGGAACAGGTTTAGTATTTTTAGACCATACCTATATATATATTAACTGAGAATAATGCTAATCATTATTAATAGCGCCTATATGGCATTTTTATCAGTAGATCTCAAATTGCTTTATGAAAGAAGTCTGTGGAGTGGGCTAAGAGCAGGAGAAACTACACCTGGAAGGATGGTGTTTCTCGATGACATAATCCCCTCCTCAAAAACACGGGTCTTTAACACGTAAATTAATGCAAATCCTGTCAGTATTATCTTATCCAAGTAGCAGGGGTTTCCCTATCATAGCACTAGAAAATCTTGTTGAAGCACAGAACTTCTGACCCTGTGTCTTTTGGATGTCCTGAGATCTGTGCAGAACTTGAGATCCACTGATGTTGGGGGCTGAACCTTGTGGAAGTTCAAGTCTTATGCTTTTAATTCATATGAAGGGGACAAAATGGCTTTGTAATAGGAAGACTAAATAATGTAGACTCTATAATAGACATATTCATCAAATTAGTCTGTTACTGATTTTGAGGATGTTAAATCTTCTCTCTTTTCTTCCCTTAACTTACTTGCCCTGTGTGGTCTGTCTAGAATGAGAAGTCTGGTTGTGCTGCTATGTAAATAAAGAGTACTTTTGTATTTTGTAAAATTTATACAAGGATATGAAAGGATCTCCATATTGGGCAACTGTATCAATATGAACATATATATGAAAGATAATTTTGAGATGACTTTAGTTTCTGTTACTGCAATGACAGAGACACATATTGAAATACATTTGGAAGGCAGGCTTGATTTTTTTTTAAAGACTTACCAAAAGCTATGCTTCTGAAAAACAACTGAATTAAGATCTTTGCTTAAAATTGGCTTCTTGGTGCAATTGTTTAGCTTTTGCCCCATCATTCTCCTAATTAAAGCATCATCTGTATTTGGAAATAACTGTTTTGTGATTCCTGCAAAATAAAGAGATGACATTTATGGGATCTTCAGATCAGGGCCAAATCAGGGAAAATATTAAGTGTATGATCCAAGTTACATTATTTGGGCTTATGAAATTTAAACATCCAAAAGAGACTTATTCTACTCTTTTCTGTATTTGGCCTCTTTGCTCCCCTTGCCTGGTTTACCAATTTCCGGTCTGGTTTTCTCCTTCCATATTGCCAGTCCTGCTCTAACTTTGTTGGGCAACTCAGAAGGAAGTCCCATGACCTTGATGACTTCCTGTACTATATACTTCCTATATATACTCTGCCTTTCTTCCTTTATCTCTGTTCTCTTCCTGGCCAATTAATCCTAATCCTACCCTCTTATCCACTCTCATGACAGCTCTTCACCACCTTGGTCTCTGCTTACTTCTTCCTCTTCCATTTCTGTTCCTCCTGCTCTGTGTGCTCAGGAGCTGACTGACTTCTCTGAATGCAGCACTCACATGACCCAGCAGGAGTTCTCTACTTCCTGCTCCCCTGACTACCTCATCATCCTCACGTCCGCCTTTGATTTTATCTTCTTTTAACCATGTGTCCCACTATGAAAATCTTCTAGCTTCTATTTTCCTGAAAACTCTTTGATTGGCCAGCTTGTTCCTATCACCTCACACATCCTAAAACATCTGACTTGCTCCTCGTTCCTTCTCTGTCTCTTATCAGTTGCTCTCGCTATTTTGACTCCTTCCCATCTGCATTCAGTCATATTGTTTCCCCTCACCTAACGAAATCCTCCTTTGACTCCTGGTCTCTTTCTATAGTCTCCCCTTTATTTTTGAGCTGCTTGTCATCATCTTTCTTGCCACTTCCCTATTTGGGATCAGTGACTTTATAATCTTCTTCCAAAGTTCATCATTTTATGCCAGGCTGTCAGGCAGATTGATCTCTCTGAGGTACATTGATATTCAGTCCACATACTGAGTCTTTGTTCTCCCCCTTGGTCACCTTCCAGCCACAATTATTTCAGGAGCCATCCTACTGATATAACTCTCCGGGTTCTGCTGGATATGCCCATACTAAAATAGCCTAGTCTCCCTCAACTTGTCTTCAACTGGAGCAACTCACATTAAGCCCCTTCTAAGCTCATTTTGTTTCCTATCACAGTGTTCAACCATTTGACCATCTCAACATCTTCATTTCCGTGGTGGGGAGCATGCTAATTTCCTTTTCTGTGGCTGTCCAAGTCTCTGTTCTGTACATTAAGGTGGGTTGAATTACATTTTATACACTCTACCTTTTACATAAGAACAGCCATACTGGGTCAGACCAAAGGTCCATCTAGCCCAGTATCCTGTCTTTCAACAGTGGCCAATGCCAGGTGCCCCAGTGGGAATGAACAGAACAAGTGATCCATCCCATCGCCCATTCCCAGCTTCTGGCAAATAGAGGCTAGGGACACCATCCCTGCTCATCCAGGCTAATAGCCATTGATGTACCTATCCTCCATGAATTTATCTAGTTCTTTTTCGAACCCTGTTATAGTCTTGACCTTCACAACAACCTTTGGCAAAGAATTCCTTTTAACTTTATTGGCATCTTTTTGTCATAGAGAACTGGGGTCAGTGCCTACCATTTGCAACATGCAGCTTTAGTACAATGCCTAGCATCTTTCAGGAAAGAACCAGAGTCAGCCATTGATCCTAGGAATTTAAATTTTTTCACCCTTCTAAGCTCTCTGCCTGTGATATCCTTTAAGGTGGGTCCTCCCTCCTCAGGCATTCTCTACTGTAGCTCTATTTAGCTTTGACTCTGGAACTCATTCCATCATACGTATCCTGGATAAGATGGACATATCCTTCTGGCACACTTCTCCATGATTGTACACTTTTTCTAGGTTCACAAAGACCTTACCCAGTGACCATCTCTTTTCTCTGAACTTCTCCATGAGGATTCATAGTGCAAATATAACATCAATTGTGCTCTTTCCCAGCATGTATCCATGCTGACTCATCCAAACCATTCCACATATCTTCAAGCTGCTTGTATAGCTGTCTATTCCCAGTGCCTTCATTCCCTCTCCTCCACCCCCCTTTACAATTCCTTCCTGTTTGACTTCTGCCCACTCCATTCCACTGAACCTGCCCTCACAACAATCACTAATAATCTTTCCCATTCCAAGTCCAAGGTCTGTTCTCCAAACTCACTCTGCTCAAACTTTGCTGCTTTTAACATAATCAAATACCCACCTTTTCGTAACAAACTCTCTTCCTTGGGCATGCTTAGCTGTCATTTTCTTCTTACCTGATTGACTGCTCCTTCGGTGCTGCATTTGGTAGGTCCCCCATCTCCTCTCCCCAATATGCTGGTGATTCTTAGGGGTCTATCCTTTGTCCTCTCCCCTCCTGGCCCTCTCCCCCCACCCACTGGCACTTGGAAAATGGATGAGGTCACCAAGACCTCTCCTCTTACCTCTGTTGATGGCTCCTCAATCTACCCACCCTATCTGTCCAGGCTTGCATCTCTTCCTAGCTCTCTGATACTTCAAGAATGGCCTCATGTTTTTTAAAAACAAAATATGGAAAAGACCTTCTAAATCTTTCCTCCTACAAACACACTTTCTCTATCACTTTTGACAACTCCAACTTCCCTGTCACCGAGTGCTAAAATCAAATAAACAAACAAACTTTGGAGTTATCTTTAGCTGCTCTTTTCTTCTTCTCAACTAAAACTAGGCAATTCCCTTATCTTGTCATTCCTCCCTCTATAACACTTCTAAAATTTACCCTTTCCTCTCCACATGTGCTGCCAAAATGCTCATTCATGCCATGTCTCTATCTCACCTACGCTACTATAACCTCTTTCTCTCTTCCCAGATTGCTTCTCCCTACTTCAGTCTAGCCACCACTTGACAGCTAAAATAACCTTCCTTTCCTGCTATTAGAACCAGGTCACTCCCTCAAGTCTCTTCACTACCTCCCTCTCTCTTTTGGCATACATTTCAAACTCCTTGTCCTCCCTTTTTAAAATGACAACCAGCTCTGCCCTGCCTACATCTCACTGCCTGTTGCTAACCATCTTTCCATCCTACACTTAAAAGAAACAAGGTAGGACAAATAGTTAATCTCCTGCTCCCTCTCTCACATTTGGGTCTTTTTTTTCCACATTACTCCTTAAACCTGAAATGAACCACCCTTTCATGGGCACCAACCATCTTCTGTCTTTAAACCCTTCTATTAAGCCCTACTTTGTTTGTCTTGCTTTCCATTCCTGTGCCTCACCCAATCTTAACCTCTTTCAAAATATCAGAACTTATCACGTTCACTCACTAAAGAATATAGTTGGCATTATTTATATTTATATACACTCTTGTCTTCTCTTTGCCTACCCTTTCCTTTGTCCATTATCTTCAGTCTATGTTTGACTACTTTAGGTGGTATTTTTAGTTTCTGTAGAGCACCATGCAATATTACAGTGCTATATAAATGTTTAATAATAAATATTAATAATCCAAAATCCACATAATAGGAACAAAAGATATTTTGCTTTTTACTGATTCTTCATTTTTAACAGTAATGAGATAAATGTGAAATGACCAAAATAAATAAAAATGAATTAGTAACATGAATGTGGCAGTTCAAAGTGTGATGAAAAATGAGACACAGTGCCATATCAAGTAATATAAACTAGTCATCACCTATGATTTCCTGAACTTCATTCTGATTCATTGCTGGTTTTGCTGCTTTATCCTTCGAAGAGGAGGATTTTGCACCTGTCAGACTATGCGTGGCCATGTATTCGTGTGTATAAAGGGCTTGCATCAAATCATTTATAAACTTTTGAGGCTTGCTCTTGTTACAAAGGGCAATCTGCCATTTTTCAATCTTGAACTGAAAAATACAATAGTCATAGACATGACTGTTCTAATCCTCACAAAATACAACCAAATATAATCATACTTTTCTTAAATTTTTTCCCCAACATTTTAACATTTTCAAAAGCAGCATCTACACCAGTGTACTCAAAACTGGGTGCCCAGTTGTGTGCACATCTAATTTTGGAACTGCACATATAAAATACATTTTGCAGATACAAGGGAGGGGCCAGATTGTGGCGCCTTACTCATGCTGGTGAACGTTTTCTCAAGCAGGCTCATTGGTTTCAATGGAACTACTTGCCTCCGTAAATGCTCACCAATGTTAGCAAGAGCTCCAAAATCTGGACCTAGGCTATTAGCTATCTAATACACCTGCTGTTTACATGTAGAAATCAGAGTACCCTGAGCATGTGGGCAAGATTCACCAGCCAGATACCCAGGAAAGAATTCTCTGTAGTAACTCGGATCCCACCCCATTTAACATCCCATCACAGGCCATTGGGCCTATTTACCATGAATAGTTAAAGATCAATTAATTGCCAAAATCATGTTATCCCATCATACCATCTCTTCTATAAATTTATAGAATTTAATCTTGAAGCCAGATAGGTCTTTTGCCCCCACTGCTTCCCTTGGAAGGCTGTTCCAGAACTTCCCTCCTCTGATGCTTAGAAACCTTTGTCTCATTTCAAGTCTAAACTTCCCGATGGCCAGTTTATATCCATTTGTTCTTGTGTCCACATTGGTACTGAGCTTAAATACCTCCTTGGTATTTATCCCTCTGATATATTTATAGAGAGCAATCATATCTCCCCTCAGCCTTCTTTTGGTTAGGCTAAACAAGCCAAGCTCCTTGAATCTCCTTTCATAAGGCAGGTTTTCCATTCCTCGGATCATCCTAGTAGCCCTTCTCTGAACCTGTTCCAATTTGAATTCATCCTTCTTAAACATGGGAGACCAGAACTGCACACAGTATTCCAGGTGAGGTCTCACCAGTGCCTTGTATAACGGTACTAACACCTCCTTATCTCTGCTGGAAATACCTCGCCTGATGCATCCCAAGACCGCATTAGCTTTTTTCACGGCCATATCACATTGGCGGCTCATAGTCATCCTGTGGTCAACCAATACTCCAAGGTCCTTCTCATCCTCTGTTACTTCTAATTGATGCGTCCCCAGCTATAACTAAAATTCTTGTTATTAATCCCTAAATGCATGACCTTACACTTCTCACTATTAAATTTCATCCTATTACTATTACTCCAGTTTACAAGGTCATCCAGATCCTCCTGTACGATATCCCGGTCCTTTTCTAAATTGGCAATACTTCCCAGCTTTGTATCATCTGCAAATTTTATTAGCACACTCCCACTTTTTGTGCCGAGGTCAGTAATAAAACGATTAAATAAGATTGGTCTCAAAACGGATCCCCGAGGAACTCCATTGGTAACCTCCCTCCAGCCTGACGGTTCACCTTTCAGTATGACCCGCTGTAGTCTCCCCTTTAACCAATTCCTTATCCACCTTTCAATTTTCAAATTGATCCCCATCTTTTCCAATTTAACTAATAATTCCCCATGTGGCACCGTATCAAACACATTACTGAAATCTAGGTAAATTAGATCCACTGCATTTCCTTTGTCTAAAAAATCTGTTACTTTCTCAAAGAAGGAGATCAGGTTGGTTTGGCACGATCTACTTTTTGTAAAACCATATTGTATTTTGTCCCATTTACCATTGACCTCAATGTCCTTAACTACTTTCTCCTTCAAATTTTTTTCCAAGACCTTGCATACTACAGATGTCAAACTAACAGGCCTGTAGTTACCCGGATCACTTTTTTTTCCTTTCTTAAAAATAGGAACTATGTTAGCAATTCTCCAGTCATACGGTACAACCCCTGAGACTCATTAAAAATTCTTGCTAATGGGCTTGCAATTTCATGTGCCAATTCCTTTAATATTCTTGGATGAAGATTATCTGGGCCCCCTGATTTAGTCCCATTAAGCTGTTCGGGAGTTTTGCTTCTACCTCAGATATGGTAATATCTACCTCCATATCCTCATTCCCATTTGTCATGCTACCATTATCCCTAAGATCCTCATTAGCCTCATTAAAGACTGAGGCAAAGTATTTATTCAGATATTGGGCCATGCCTAGATTATCCTTAACCGCCATTCCATCCTCAGTGTTTAGCAGTCCCACTTTTTCTTTCTTTGTTTTCTTCTTATTTATATGGCTATAGAACCTTTTACTATTGGTTTTAATTCCCTTTGCAAGGTCCAACTCTACTTGACTTTTAGCCTTTCTCACTTTATCCCTACATGTTCTGACCTCAATAAGGTAGCTTTCTTTGCTGATTTCTCCCATCTTCCACTCCCTGTATGCTTTCTTCTTTTTCTTAATCACCTCTCTGAGATGCTTGCTCATCCAGCTTGGTCTACAACTCCTGCCTATGAATTTTTTCCCCTTTCTTGGGATATAGGCTTCTGATAGCTTCTGCAGTTTTGACTTGAAGTAATTCCAGGCCTCCTCTACCTTTAGATCCATAAATTCTTCAGTCCAATCCACTTCCCTAACTAATTTCCTTAATTTTTGAAAATCAGCCCTTTTGAAATAAAAAACCCTAGTTGCAGATTTTTTTTTGTTTATCCTTCCATTCAGTTTGAACTGAATTAGCTCATGATCACTTGAACCAAGGTTGTCCCCTACAACCATTTATTCTATGAGGTCCTCACTACTCACCAAATCAAATCTAAAATGGCATCCCCTCTTGTCGGTTCAGCAACTACTTGATGAAGGAATCATCAGCTATCGCATCTAGGAAAATCTGAGCCCTATTATTATTATTAGCACTTGTCCTCCAGTCTATATCTAGGAAGTTAAAGTCTCCCATGATCATACAGTTTCCATTTGTATTTACTTCATTAAAAACATTAAAAAGGGCTCTATCCATATCCAAATTAGATCCTGGCGGTCTATAGCACACCCCAGGCACTATCACAGGGGAGGTGCTAGTAGTTTTCTTCCCCAATGTGATTTTTGCCCAGACGGACTTGGTCTTATCCATTCCATCGCTTCTTATTTCTTTACGTTCTACCTCATCATTGATATATAATGTTACTCCACCACCTTTACCTTTATTTCTGTCTTTCCTAAACAGCACATACCCTTCAATACCTGTAGTCCAGTCGTGACTACTATTCCACCATTTTTCTGTTATCCCTATAATATCTGGTTTCACTTCCTGCACCAGTAGCTCTAGTTCCTCTGGTTTGTTACCTAGGCTCCTCGCATTGGTGTAAAAACATCTTAATTTTTGCTGTTTGGCCTCGCTCACATTCTTTACACAATTAGGCACAGACATTCTACAGCCAGTATGACCTATTAGACTGGTATCCACACTGCCCTTTCTCCTTATGTCCATTCTCCTACCCAGGGCTGTATCCTTTCTTACTTTGTTTTCTTCCCTCTCCATGCTAAAATCCGGCGTGGAGATCACCTGGACATCTCCCAACCATCTCTTCCAAATTCCTAGTTTAAAGCTCTCTTAATCAGTTGTGCCAGCCAACCTAGAAGTCTATTTTCTTCCCTACTCAGATGAAGTCCATCCCGAGAGAACTGTCCTCTGTCCATGAATGCCTCCCAGTGGCCATACTTCCCAAAGTCCTTCTTATAGCACCACTGCCTGAGCCATCTGTTGATAGTCATAATCTTGTCACACTTTTGTTGCCCTTCTCTAGGAACAGGCAGAATCCCCTGAAGATCACCTGAGCCTTGATTTCCTTAAGTGTCTTCCCCAACCTGGCATAGTCTCCCTTGATACGTTCTAGCGAGAATGTACCGGTATAATTTGTTCCCACATGAAGGACGATCAGTGGATTCTTTTGCACTTTCTTTAGGATCCTCTTCAACCTCAGGTCCACATCCCGTATCTTAGCACCTGGAAGACAGCATACCCTTCTATTCTCTGGATCAGCTCTGGTTACAGGCCTGTCCATTTTTCTCAGTAAGGAGTCCCCGATCACGTAGACCTGCCTTTTCCTGGTGACGGTGCAATTCTCTGGTCTATCCCCTGTTCCCTCTGGCTGCAAGTTTTTTCCATTTCTATTCTCCCTTGTAATCCTCTTCAACACATCCTGTATCCTCCAGGGGCTCATATTTGGCATAGTCTGCATTGACTCTTCCCCTTTTCCTGTAGGACTAGCTGTTCTTCTCTTCTTCCTTGCCCTTCCACCTTCAGTGACCACCTGCTGAGTCCCTTCTTCATTTTCCAACTTTGCAAACCTGTTCTTGAGCTCTATTTCTCCTTCACTAGCCTGTCTTTTCCTCTGCCTGTTTCTCTTAGTCACATGCTTCCACTGTCCATTTTCTTCACCCAGCAGTATTCCCTCAGAGTTCTTCAGTCCTGCTTCCATCTGCAAGTCTGAGCTTTTCCCTTCAGCCTCCTCATGTCTTTGCTCCATAATCTGCTCAGACCCCCTTCTAAACTCAACCAGACTTTCCACCTGCATCTCCAATCCTCTGATCTTTTCTTCCATCAGCTCTATCAGGCGGCACTATGCAGATGAAACTCTTTCCAGGTACCCCCTCCAGGATCATGTACATACCGCAGCTTCCACATCCAGTCATCTTCATTGTGTCTTCCACTACATGGGTCACCCCCACTGCTGCCTCTGTATCTGTCATAGCCTTCTCACCTAAATCCTGTTAATCTGGGAAACACAAACCACACCAAAATACCAGCACCAACAGCAAAAACAAACCCCAAACAAGCACCGCAATGCAAACTCCCCTTTCAAACTCCCCTGTTTACCGCTCTGTTTGCTGGCTCTCGTGCCGCTGCAGCTGTCTGTGCCACTGCCTGACTGGCTGGCTACCATTATAGGACCCCTAGTCAGAGAAGCCCCACTCCCTAATCAGGGCTCAGCTTCTCTCCCAGCACATTTTGTACATAACAGTTGTCATATTTAATAAATCGTCATCTCTTAATAGTTTTGAATGGATTTTTCCTGATTTAGGGACATGTGAAATACAATCCATACAACTGATCTGTATGGATTGGCATGACTCAGTACATAGAAACGTTTATGTAAATTATGAATGCAGAAACTAATGGAGTTATTCTTTAATTAAATCTTTAAATTGATATTTCTCCTGTACAGATTCTGTGCCTGTGATCTCTTGATAATGCTCTATTACTATAATGGAGCATCTAGGACCCAGGTCGCTCCATCCAAAATCAGAGTAACTCCAATTAACTTCTGGCCAATCTCTTTAACATGGACAGAAAGACACCCTTTCCCCCTCATTTATTTATTTATTTATTATTTAAAAAAGAAAGATTTAGACCTTCTTTCATAACTTTAAGGTCATATTTTCCCCTCAGCTGTTTGAAGTCAATCAAAGTCCCCCATGTACAGCCAAGCATAGGATTTATTGAAATTGAATTGAAAAGCATTTCATACTGATCCATGCTCTCCTCACCCAAAGACATGAAAATATAATGAAGTCAAGGGAGTTGCAAAATTGCACCTGAGGGCTCACTGTGATTCACTGTGTCTAATGGGAAACCTCTCGCACACAAAAGGATAATGATTATTTATTAATAAATTCCTCAACTTTCCTAATTACTGTCTGATAATAAAATTATCATTACTGAGGTTTACTTTTCTTTACATAGTCTCAATAAATGTTGCAATATATCAACTTTTATTTCACTCTTATTGCTGAAATAAGCTTTCAGCTAACCTGTTTCTCAGGCTGTTGCTCCTCTTCTTCCATATTCAATGCTATCGGTGAATTGGAGTTACTGTGGATAGTTGCATATGAATCTGATAAAGAACTGTTTGATGCTTTCCAGACAGTGTGTGAATGAATACTGGAGGCAGATGTGGTCACTCCCCCTTTGAGCAGGGCCTCAGCCATACCTACCAGTTCCTCAAAATGTGTGACTGCCTGTGGCAACACTGAAATTAGAAAGAGTAATCACTAAGAATAGCCACTGATGCTACTAAACTTTGGTTTAGTTTCATGTATACAGGTATTTTTGTAACCAAACTCTTGTCACAGTAGTCAAAAGAACAGGACTTGCAGTCTCCTTCTAGACCAACCCCAGCAATCAGCAGAGATATCATTAGAATGCTACTTCCTTTTTTTAAAATTCCTTCCCTGCCCTGTCATCAAATGAACCTCACAATGGAGATCAGGTTTCCAGCATAAGCAATGTGCTAGCTGTCTGTGGATTGATAAAAGGAGCCATTGGTTAACACATGCCCACTGTAATGCTGACCTGGCTGTTTTTCTTACACTGTTTTCTCAAAATATGTACAGCACTACAAGATTGAAGAGTATGGGTGAAATTCAGAATAGTTAGAAGCAGGTCCAATTCTATTCACTAGAATGGAGGTATGTCTGGCTGCATTTGACCTTTTATTTCTTGTTATAAGAAATCCTTGAAAATGTCCCCTTATTTGGTCAACATATTATTTACACAGATGAGCTTTTCTGGAGTGAGTCCATTACAGAGATTACATTCAGTGGAGTGGCAAAGCATGATCTAATGAAACACTGTAAGAGATAAAGAGGAAGCAAAAAGCACAGTAATTAAACTAATAGAAATTATACAGCAAAGGGGAAATGTAAGCATTCAAGAGGAAAGTAGAAATTGACCTAGCAATTTAAATGCAATGGACAGATATTAACAGTCTTTTACTGGACCAATTTCTGTTGGAGAGAGAGTAAGCTCTCTCTGGGTAAGCGCAAAACTTGTCTCTCTCACCAACAGAAGCTGGTCCAATAAAAGATATTACCTCACCCACTTTGTCTCTCTACTATCCTGGGACCAATACGGCTACACCACTCTATTAACAATATCCGATTCAACCTAAAATATTAACAATATCAGATATTAACAATATCAGATTCAACCTGAAAAAATCCTACTGATACATTTAGAGAAAAACAATCCAGAACACAAAGGTCAAATGGGTGAGGGAAGACTGAAACAAAGTAACAATGAGAGAGGACTAGGCAGACAATGAACTGAATTGAATATGTGCTTGCAGCATCATATGGTGACCAAGGGGAAAAAAAAGCAATGTTATACTGGGTTGTATATTCGGTGGCATCATGTTACTGATAAGGCAGGTGACAGACCCTATTTAAGGAACATTTGTTCATTTACATTTTGAGTGCTGCATACAGTTTTGGCTGCCCATATTAAGAAAACAACAATGAATTGAAGAGGGATCTAGAGAAGGCCAACTAAGGTGACTAAAGGCTTGGTTAAAAGAGCTAAATGGATATAAATTGGTTAAAAGATTACAAGGCATCACTTAGAAATAACAGATGATTTTCAAAAGGAAGAAATTATTTGGTTCAGGGATGAATAATTAGAAGTTAAGGGATAGAACTAAGTAGGGGAAATTTTAGAATATCAATAATTGCCGAACAATAACATCAGTTAGACTTTGGTCAGTATAGACCCAGTTGCTGGAGTTATTCAAACTTGACCTACACTTATACAAAGCACATGAAAATGTTCTGTGAGGAACAATCCTGCTGATTTAACCAGTTTTTTTTCCATCTTTAAACTCAATGATCTCACAGTCTCTTTTTAAGTTGATTTCATCTATGGGCCAACTGGAATTAAATGCTGTAGTCATACAGAAATGACTTTTTTTTACTAATTTGGGGCTAGATCTTGACAGATGCTTCAGCACTCACAATTCTCACGTAAGTGTCCTCACAACAATCAGGACTTTATGTGCTTTCAGTTCTCCTCTTCATCAAAAAGTGTCCATTTCCCCACAGTTTACCTTGAAGCATGACCAGTGACTGCCGTAGGCGACAGTTTTCTCTCATGGTGTCTGTCAGTTTCCTTTTCAGACTTTTTATTTTGGCACGTAGTTCCACTTTGGATAACTGAAACAAGGGCTCCTCATCATCACTACTGCTTTCGCTGTACAGAAAAGCATTTCCAGAATACGGTTCTCTCTGAAAAAAATAAATTGGGCTAAAAAGCAACAACAGAAAATAAAAGTATCTACTATTAAACTGTTTGGCTAAAGGAGGATATTCTCTTTACAAAGACACACAAAATATAAATATGAGTTCACCTTAATAATCAACTTAACTAACATTGATACTGTAATTCAACTAACTGGTTGACTACAATATTAACAATACTTAGCTCTAATACACTACTTTATATCTCCCAAGCACTATATGAACATATACAAAGATAGCATCTTTCATCGGCACTAATTCACTTAAAATTTTAAATAAATTAATTTTTTTTAAATGTGAACCTCAGCTTTGTTGTGCTGCACAGCTGCAAATTACTGATGACAAGATGTTTTACCTGTTTGTTAATTAAAGATGTTTCAAGTTGACTCAGGATGTTGGCAGAGGCAGAGGCCTGTAATGATTTCTTTCTTTTTATACTCTTCATCATTTTCCCCTGAAAATAACCACATGATAACACATTTGCACTCACATAGTGTTTTCTATCAGAAGATTTCATTGTACACTACAAACATTTATTCATTTTGGCCTTACTATGTCCTTTGAGTAGAAAAAATATGTCTGTATCTTTTGTCAGTTCTGAGATCCATGGATTCTCCTGAGTAATTTGCAGATCTCACTCCATGGCAGACTTCAGAAGCCATGACCCTTGCCCACTTTATGGTGTTGTCAGAGCCCTTTCTCATTGGGGATGATGCAGTGTAGGTGCACAATATCCAAAGCTGTGAAGATTCTACATACATTTTATCCTTCTGCAACTTCTGATAAGGATGGAGGGAAGATCTGGACCCGTGTTATCAATTACCCCAACATGTCATTGAGCTAAGGCATGATGTGAAGATTGCCTTTGTCTCCACTGCCAACATACACATACTGAAAAGTCACGAGCAATGCACTGGAACATTATATTTATATTAGGGCATAAAAGTAACAGGTTCACACTTGGGAAAACAACAGAGACTGAAAACCCACCTGCCCTTTGTCCAGGTCACTATCTTCACTCTCTGAGAATATCATCTCAATCCTCTTCCTCTTGCCTTTTCCAACAACTTGTATTTTTGTAATTTCATCTGCCTGCAATATCTTCTGCATCATCTCAACTAGCTCTTGAGGGTCATCTGAAGTGGAGAAAAGAGAAGTCCAAGCAGATGATACTATTCTGCTAGTCAGCTAGCGACATCTGAAATTAAATTGTTATAAATGGGCTGCTTTGCAGATGGACTCACCACTCATGTACACTACTTTTACTAAATGTTTCTCTGTCTTCCTTTCTCCCACAGGCCAGTTAACTAGCACCTGCTCATTTGGTTTCAGGAGTCCTTCTAGTTCACTGTCATCATTGGGAAGATCCTGAATCCATGAAGTCTCCCCAATTTGTAGCGAATTATCATTTACAAAATCGAACAGCGTGAACTTTTTCATTTTTAAGGGATTTCCTTGTCACACAGCCACAGCCTGAAGAATTTCATAGGAAAAATAACTGTTATTTCATCATGTCACTGGTGTACATGAAGTTTTATAAACAGATTTTTTTTAAAAATCCAGCCCTCTCCTCCTAGAATCTTACAATCTGAGGGCCTCTCTGTGTGAAAATAACCTGTATAGGGGAAGAGAAAACTAGCCCAGTCTCCTGTGAACTCTTCCTTCAAAAGTGGAGAGGGGAATAGTTTGCCCAGCATACATACAGCCACAGAAGTGGAAAGAGATTTGGTCTCAATGTGCAGCAGCAATCAAAAAAGCAAACAGAATGTTAGGAACCATAAGGAAAGGGATAGATAATGAGAGATAAAATATCATATTGTCTCCATATAAATCCATGGTACACCCACACCTTGAATTCTGCACGCAGATGTGGTCGCCCCATCTCAAAAAGATATGTTAGAATTGGAAAAGGTTCAGTAAAGGGCAACAAAAATTATTAGGGGTATGGAACAGCTTCCACAAGAAGAGAGATTAATAAGACTGGGACTTTTCAGCTTAGAAAAGAGACGACTAAGAGGGGAAATGATAGAGGTCTATAAAATCATGACTGTGTGGAGAAAGTAAATAAGGAAGTGTTATTTACCCCTTCTCATAACACAAGAACATGGGGTCACGAAATGAAATTAATAGGCAGTAGGTTTAAAACAAACAAAAGGAAATATTTCTTCACACCATGCACAGTCAACTTGTGGAACTCTTTGCCAGAGGATGTTTTGAAGGCCAAGACTATAACAGGGTTCAAAAAAGAACAAGGTAAGTTCATGGAGGATAGGTCCATCAGTGGCTATTAGCCAGGATGGGCAGGGATGGTGTCCCTAGCCTCTGTTTGCCAGAAGCTGGGAATGAGTGACAGGGAATGGATCACTTGATGATTACCTGTTCATTGCCTCTGGGGTACCTGGCATTAGCCGCTGTCGGAAGACAGGATACTGGGCTAGATGGACCTTTGGTCTGACACAGTATGGCTGTTCTTATGTTCTCCAAACCTATACACTGCAGAGGATCCACTGAAGAAAAGGGGCATTCACACAGAGGATCTCTGCCTCCCCACTACTACCTGGTCTCCTTATCTGTCTGCCACAGACTGACATTATGCCTGGAGTTTGCCTCACCTTATAGTGTCCTGAATGCAGAGGTAAAACCTCTGTGAGATAATACAGACTCAGAAGGCTTAAAGGTACAAAGATGATAAAAACTTCAGACAGTAGTTTACCCTTGCAACTTGAGGTGTATGTATTGTGTATGCTATTTAAAGGGATGTATGACTAAAAGACTATTAATCATCCTTTGGGCAACAAGATGTTCAGTACAATTACAGTCATATAGGAGCAACCCAGAACACCAAGGATAAGTGAGTGGATGAAGTCTGACACATCCTGGCAATGGAAAAGTTGACATATATAAGAATTGACAGTCTCAGGACTATTAGACAGTTGGGCTGCCTTTTATGAACTACAGAATAAAAGCTATAAGGAGAACACAGAACCAACATTTGCATTCCCCCTCCCCCTTTTTTTTTTACACTAGACTCTTAAAACAAAGGAAGGAAAGGACTATTTTAATCCTCTTGGCTGTACTGAAAATTCATGGGCGGGGGAAGGGAAGGAACAAAATGCAAACTGAAGTAGTTTGTATTTTAGTTTGTTCTGTTAAAAACAATGTGACATCTAGGCTGAGAAATGGAATAAGAATTATCATCAGTACTCTGTGAAGAGTTTATCAGTAGTACTGTATAGGACTGGGTTGTACTTCTATTTTACATTTTTTCAAGGAAGTGCAATTTCATGAGATTATATTTTCTTTAATATGAATGCAAAGTACTCCACTTAGGAAGGAACAATCAATTGCACACACACAAAATGGGAAATGATTGCCTAGGAGGGAGTACTGCAGAAAGGGATCTGGGAGTCATAGTGGATCACAAGCTATATATGTGTAACAGTGTAACACTGTTGCCAAAAAAAAAAAGAAAAAAAAAAAAGCAAACATCATTCTGGGATGTATCAGCAAAAATGTTGTAAGCAGGACACGAGAAGTAATTCTTCCACTCTACTCTGCACGATAAGGCCTCAGCTGGAGCATTGTGTCCAGTTCTGGGTGCAACATTTCAGGAAAGATTTGGACCAATTGGAGAAAGTCAAGAGGAGAGCAACAAAAATGATTAAAGGTCTAGAAAACATGACCTATGAGGGAAGATTGAAAAAATTGGGCTTGTTTAGTCTGGAGAAGAGGAGACAGACAGTTTTCAAGTACATAAAAGGTTGTTATAAGGAGGAGGGTGAAAAATTATTCTCCTTAACCTCTGAGAATAGGACAAGAAGCAGTGGGGTTAAATTGCACCAAGGGAGGTTTAGGTTGGACATTAGGAAAAACTTCCCCATTGTCAGGATTTGTTAAGCACTGGAACAAATTGCCTAGGGAGTTTATGGAATCTTCGTCATTGGAGGATTTTAAGAACAAGTTAAACACTCCTCAGGAATGGTCTAATTATCAGGTAGTCCTGCCTTGAGAGAAGGGGACTGGACTAGATGACCTATTGAGGTCCCTTCCAGTCCTATACTTCTATGATTCTCAGAGCAACTAGAAAGCCCCAGATTATATGAAAACACCCAAAACTTTACACGTAAAGTCTGGGGAAAAGGAATCCCCAAGTCATGAATCACTAGGATCCTGATTCTGCCACCCTTACACACGCTGAGTAGTTCTTTAGTCCACAAGAAGGAATCACTCAACATTGGTGTAGGTGGCAGAATTGAGCCCTCAGGTTGTGCTCCTGCTCCCAGTGAAGTTTTGCCATTGACTTCAATAGGAACAGATGAAGTCCAAAATTCACACTAAAATCAGGCCAATGGAATAGAAATTTGGTCAAAGTGAGATATACGAAGTGCAGGGTTTAAAAGAGGTCTGAGTACATCTGCATGCTCTGACAAACCCACCCTGCCTGACAGGGATAATTAGAGCTTTATCACAGCCGTCATGGACTCTGTAGTTTATCATTATTTTAAAAAAATCTGTGACTTCTGAGGATTTTTGCAAGTGGTGGGTGGATATGAGAGTAAACAACTGAACCTATTTCACTGAGAGCCTGCCAACTTAAAAACATGGGACTCTGATAGAAATTAGAAAATAATATTCAGGGCTAGAGATTTGGCACACAGTCATGGATTGCATGACTCCTCTGGTTTTGGGGGGAGAAGTCACAAAGCTTTCACGGCTGCTTTAAAAGGCATCTGTGCTGTGCTGCTGCTCCTGCTGCTTTTGCAGAGGCTGAGGCAAGAAAGCAGTGCTGAAGAGGTGGCAGAGGCTCTCTAGCATCCCTCTGCTGCTACTGCAGCACTGAATCAGCATGCAGTCCAGCTGTTTTAAATATATTAGACATGAAATGGTTTAAATCAGTCTTATTGCAACATAAAGGACACGGAGTAAAATAACACAACCTTGGATTTCTTTGGTATTTTTCTTTCCCCCCACTGATCTCTTCACACAATTTACTGTGACAAGCTAGAGACCCTCAGGGATAAATACCTACCTGTCTGTTGGCATCTTCTTGAGAAAGTAATTAAAGTGGTTGGAAAGGTAGAACGAAACGTCTGTAATGAGGAAAAGAAAAAATCCAAGATCCTCCACTTATAGAAGGAAACATCAGGGCCAGTCTTGCAGTTCTTTCACGTGCAAAACTCTCACTGGGGTCAGTAAAAACAACAAGGAGTCCGGTGGCACCTTAAAGACTAACAGATTTATTTGGGCTTAAGCTTTCGTGGGTAAAAAACCCACTTCTTCAGATGGAGTCTGTGGGTGTCTTGCTTGAGTAAGGACTGGATGATAGGATGCATCATCTCCAGGAGATGTTCTCTGACAAAACAGATCACCACAAATGTAAAACAAATGTGTACACACCCTGATTAGGGCATCTAGTTGCTGCTTGGGCAGAATAAGACAGAATAATAGTAAAAACTGCCAAAATTTTTCATTTTAAAAAAATGCTGAAATGTGACATTTTGACAATTTATAAACTTTTTTTCCTCAAAACCTTTTCTAAATGGGAGATTTGTTGAAATGGATCTTTTCCAGCAAACAGTTTTAGTTTCAATGAATCAGCATTATCCAATGAAAAAATGTTTAGTCAATAAACTCCAACCAGCTCAACTCATAAGCCTGCACTGTAGAAGAGAGCAGCTTTATAATCTGATCCAGCCTCCAGTAGCTCCACTGGTATAGAGCTCCAGAAAGCGGCTATTTATGCATCTCCCAGCTGACTTAGACCTGTGGTTCTCAAACTTTTGTATTGGTGACCCCTTTCACACAGCAAGCCTCTGTGTGCAACCCCCCTTATACATTAAAAACACATTTTTTTTTATATTTAACACGACAGGTAGTCCTCGACTTTATGATGTTCGAGTTACGACAAACAGCACTTACGGCGTTTATAAATTGTCATTGTGGTTTGACTTTACAACGTTGGTTTTGACTTTACAATGCTCAATCTGACATTGTTCCTCTGGGAAATGACATTTTTGACTTAAGACGTGATTTTCAGGAACCAATTGTGTCATAAGTCTGAGGACTGCCTGCTGGAGGTGAAGCGGGGTTTGGGAGTGGAGCCTGACAGCTTGCGACCCCCACGTAATAATCTCATGACCCCCTGAGGGGTCACAACTGCCAGTTTTAGAACCCCTTCCTTAGACTGTCCCATCCTGACAGGGTCCTGGCCACTTTTGAGGCTGTACCAGCTAAGTCCAGTGCCACCATTTCTGCTGGACTTTCTGCTTTTGGAGCCTGGCGTTTAGAATTTATCAGTGTAGAATGAATCTGGTCTTGTGTTCTCAATCTTTTTTTTCTCTGCTTTGGGAGGCTTTATGTCAGAGTCCTGACATTGAGAGTTTTGGTGGATTAAATCATTTTAACTGGGAGAGATGTAATTGTTCACTAATATTACAGTGTGGAGTTACTAACTACAGAAGGGGGTTTTGTACCATTTATTAAAATCCACACTTGCAGGCTTTTGTAAGCAAGATACTTTACAACTGCCAGATTCTCCATCTGAAAACACAAGCTACCCATTTCAGATCTATTGTTCCTTACATTTATTGTTTATTTCTCTTGAGAGACCCACATCTATCCCTAGTTTCTCTGAAATCAGATAGCCTGTAGAAGAAGAAAAAAGGTGGAAGCAGCCATTTACATGCTGTGTTGAGGAAACATATATTAATTGGATCCCTAATTTTTGCAGACATGCTCACATCTCACATCCTGAACAGACATTAAATATACAATTTTGCACATAGGATACTGTTACTAAGCAACCAGGAAAGCCAGAATAAGAAAAATAAATACAAAAGTCTTTGTAAAGACATCTCTCTCCCTGTGGCTGACACAGTCTGGTCCAGCTCCATTCAGCAGGAGAGCTGGCAGATACCACGATGAGATCACTACTTCTTTTTCCTCTCAGTAAACGTAAAGTATTACAAATTTACAACATGAGATTTTAGCCACTCACTGAATCTGAGTCTGTTCTCCCTGAAGTCAGTGAGAGCTTTGCTATTGATTTCAACAGAAACAAGATCAGGCCCACAATATACAATCCTATACTGTATACCTGTTTCCTATATTTCCAGGATTAATGCCTAGAAAGAAAAGACTGAAATCATGGTATTGTAGTGAAACGTGATCATTCTGAAATTCATACATACTACAATTGTTAACATTTTATATTCACTGCCTTCTGGGTCCAGCCTTTACTAATCCCAGTTCTCACTGGAAAGTCCCTCCGCTAACCAGTTATCAGCAGAAAGGGAGGAAGCTGGGTCTGCTGCAGCCAAAACCACTTCACTCCACACTAGGACACTGGTCCTATTTACAGAGTTTGGTTTTCATTGCTTTTTAAACTGAATTTCCCAAGAAAATTAAAGATATGGGTGCAAAATACCTTGGACTAAAATAAAAACTCAAGAGAATTTAAATGGTCTCATAACAAATTTATAATTAAAAATAAGGCCTTATTAACTATTTTATTTTTCCAGTTCTATGGTCTAATTCTGTTCCCACTGAAGTCAGTGTGAGATTTTATCATTGACTTCAGAGGGAGAAGAATTAGGCCTTTCATGAGGAATGCAGAAGTGCAGTTATTGCTCAAGAGCTTTATAGAGTGATATCATAGTCATTTTATGGGAAAGAATGACTTATGTAGAAGCAAAATCCACAGCTCTCAGGAAAGGTTTACAGAGCCCAGACTTCCCAGAAAAAACAGAGATATTGTGTTGCATATTTAGCTGTAAAATTAGGGGGAAATCTTTCAGAATATCACTACAGAACTTTAAAGTTTGTGTAGATACATTTAAAATTACCCCATATCCACTATCCCAGGGTTTCTCAAACTGGCGGTCGGAACCCCTCAGGGGGTCGCGAGGGTATTACCTGAGGGGTCACAAGCTGTCAGTCTCCACCCCAAACCCCACTTTGCCTCCAGCATTTATAATGGTATTAAATATATTAAAAAGTGTTTTTAATTTATAAGTGGGGTCGCACTCAGGCTTCCTATGGGAAAGGGGTCACCAGTACAAAAGTTTTAGAACTACCGCACTACCCCATATCCACTTTCTCTACATAAAAGAATAAATCAGACATCAGAAATTGTAACATACAAAAGCCAGTAGGAGAACACTTTAATCTTCCTGGACATTCTATAATAGATTTAAAAGTAGTCATTCTTCAACAAAAAAACTTCAAAAACAGACTTCAAAGAGAAACTGCAGAACTACAATTCATTTGCAAATTTAACATTATAAATTTGGGCTTGAATAGGGACTGGGAGTAGCTGGCTCACTACAAAAGCAATTTTCCCTCTCTTGGTGTTGACACCTCCTCATCAATTATTGGGAGTGGTCCACATCCACCCTGATTGAACTGGCCCTGTCAGCACGATACCGTACCACTTGTACGGTAACTCCCTTCTCTTCATGTGCCGGTATATTTATGGCTGCATCTGTAATTTTCATTTCATGCATCTGAAGAAGTGGGTTTTTTACCCACAAAAGCTTATGCCCAAATAAATCTGTTAGTCTTTAAGGTGCCACCGGACTCCTCGTTGTTTTTATGGATACAGACTAACACGGCTACCCCTCTGATATTTAGCAGGGGGTATAACAGTGAAGTAAATTTTCAGGGCAATGTGTGAGGGAATTTAGCTACACAATTCTTACTATCAGTATCTATCAACTGTACTTCTCAATAACTTAATTATAATGGATGGTTAGTCTGGTATAACTGGCTGTGAAAAATTTTGAGATACTTCTGTGTGAACTGATGCTATTCTCAGTAAGCCATATTATCTTATTTACACAGGTAGTCTCACTGATTTCAGAGTCCCATTGGCATTTGAAGTCTGCAGGGTTTGGCCTATACCTTGTACTGGTTGTCAAAAATCTCCTTGAGGAATCTGTGCGATGATTATTATTTTTCACTGGCGTTTCCTGCATGCTGTGGGCTTCAGCAACCTAGAAATACCTTGAAATATTAATAACTCCTAAGTATATTAATGTCCACCACAAGTACAATTCTGTTTTTAATTATAAGGTTGAAGGATTTTCTTTGAAAATGCTCTAGTTCCTTCACCAAACCATCTATCTTCTTTTGTAATCCTGAGAGATGACAAAGGAAAAATAATGGATTTACTAAGCAGAACTATTTAGTAGCTCAAGGATTATAACAATATTTTAAAATTAGTAATTCATTTAGCTAACAGCTCAATATGTTGTGCAGACTCACAGAGACTGTGGAGATGCCTTTACTGAACTCAGAGGTTTACTTTCATTAGTCGACTTTCAAAGAAACTATCAAGCAAAACTAGTAACACTACAAAGAAAGGGATGTGGTACATTATCTTAGTTCTGCATACTGGATAAATATCTTAAATAAATAGATATTTGACAGCTCTATGATGGTATGTCTACAGTCATGTCTACAAGTTCAACATGTATTTGCTCAGGCACAAATTGACAAGGCCATCACAAATACCACATGGCAATGGGTACAGACTGGCAACCAGAGTAACATTGTGAATAGGAGTGTGCAGATGTTCCTTCCAAAGTTCTTCCAGTGGAAGGGCAATGTCACCAGGAGAAGTTTAACCACAGCCAAAATCAGGCACAAGATATAAACTTAGCACTTGCTCTGAAAAATGGCCAATCAAGAGCCATTTCTCTAAACTACCTGTTATAGTATCTGTTCTGGAAAGATGAATAAAAGGCTGAAGAAAACATCAAAACATCTTTCCACACCCTACTAACATACTTTAAAATTTGTCTGGTAAGAACCTATGACGAGACTTTCTGAGGGAGTTTAAGGCTGGTACAGACTAAATACAGTGCTTACCTCCATCTTTCATATCCCACTACAAAATATAGGTGCTCAAATAGTATGGTGATGACTGCAGTACAAGAATATACATAGAACAGAACAGAATATTCTAAATGGCCCAACCCTGTTTTTACATGACAACAGACGCTATCCTATTTTGCTGAGCTACTCCATTTTAAAGCTTTATTAATAGTGACCTACTCCCTTCAATTATAAGAGCACTGCAGCAAAATAGGGGCTAGCATATTCAAGGGTGTGCTCATGTCAATATCAACAGTCCAATGGCACTTTGACTGCCTACACTTATGCATTATTTTTTTGGCTTCCCTTGGTAAGTGATTATACATTTAGAAAGGCTGCCTGGTTAATACTTCCAGTGTCTTCTCTTCTATTCCAAATCCCCTGTCCAAAAGTCCTCTTCATGGAACAATACCAGCAGTAGGGGATTGGTTAACTGGTGTGATCAAGCCTAAGAAAAAAATATTCTGTCCTAGTACCTAGAAGTAGCAAACTTTTTACATGGATCCAAGTCAAAAAATTAAACATAAAAGTGGTCACACTTTTGTTTTGCGCGACCAGAATCCTGCTTTTGTGGTGCATACATGGAGCAGACGCAGCAACGACCATCACTGTAACTTGATGGAACATAAAGGAGCCATATCCTGGAAAGTGTCATTGTAACAGGGTGGCTTGCCTTTAAGAGCTGGAGGGCCTAGGCCTACTAACCCTGATTACAATGGAGTCACGCCTGGCTATAAGAGTAGCAGAAAGCTACAATGAAGAAGCTACAGAGCGAGAAAGAAAGAGAAGATGCAGTGAAGGGAATTTTTGTGAGAGTTTTTGAGATTACCAGAGGTGGGAGGCGTGGCAGTATGCTGTGGAAGAGACACTTCTTAGGTCATAGATCACGACCTGCAGTGTAATTGCTTTGTTGTTGTTTTCAATTGTGTGTTGCTGTATTGGGAACATGAAAAAGGAATAAAAGTCTAGCCAGAAGGGCCTGGAGACTGAAGTCTGGCCAGATGTGGCTGACTGTTTGCTGGGCATGTAATGGGAAAGCCCCGGAGAAGGGAGAAATTGTTAGCAAAGTACTGCAATGGCACCTCTGGTCATGGGGTGTGCTGAGTAAACGGCAACCCTCTACAACTAGTGTAGCTGGCAAGATTCGCAACTCCCCTCCCACCAAAAAGGAAAGTGGAAACTGAAGGGGTAACAATAAAAAAAGAGATGAAGGACACTGTCCCATTATTCGCAGAACAGCAGCAAAAGACTCAGACCCTGCTGCTGACTTTTGCCAAGTGAACAAAAGGTACAGTTTTCCACCCAGCAGCAGTGGCAGGAGTCTCAGTGCCAAAAAGAGGAGCAGTTTCTGCAGTAACTGGAGACATTTACAGGGATGAGGTCAGGGCAGGCCTGGCCCGACATTGGCAAAGCTGGGGTTGAAGGACAATATTGAGGCCTTTCTCTGTACCTTTGAGCGGGTTCCTTGCCTTGCTGGCTGAGAAGACTCCACTTGGGTGGCGAGGGTGGTACCATTTTTGACTGGACAGGCTCAAACCACATTTAGAGCTTTCAGTGAGACAGTCAACTCATACCCTGAATGGAAAGCAGCCATCTTAGATTAGGATTGACACTAGAAGCGTACTGGCATAAATTCTGTATCAAGTCATTTCAGCGGAAAGCCCAACCCCATGTGGTAGCTCACAGGTTGCAGGACCTGGCTGATTGGTAGCTGCCAGAGAACTCTCTGGGGAAAGTCATGGACCTAATTGTTTTAGAGCATTTCTTGCAGGTTCTGCCCATGGGAGCTCAAACGTGAGAGAAGCAGTTTAAAAGCTAACATCAGTGGCAGAAGCAGTGGAAAAGGCAGAGATCCTAGAAAAAACGAGATTGCCTGTGTACTATGTTGAACAAACTGGAAGGGGAGAGAGCCTGGACAATGCATTCACATGGTTGGCAACACACATAAATTGCAGGAAGATGGGGAAGTTCTCTTCAGGTAGACTTTGCCCTGGCAAGGCTTTAATGGGGTTGGAGTGGGGAGTGTAACATGGTGGCTAGATCTTAAGGGCTGGAGGGCCTAGGCCTAGTCAACCCTGATTACAAAGGAGTCACACATGGGTTGGATCAGGTGGTTCCACTATAAGAGCAGCAGGAAGTTGCAACAAGGAAGAAGTTGGAGTGCGGGAGGGCAGGCTACAGTGAGGGGGCTTTTGTGAGACTGCTAGAGGCAGGAGGCCTGCCAATAAGCTATGGAAGGGATACCCTGGAGGACAGAGCTCAAGACCAGCAGAGTAATTGCTATGTTGTTGTTTTCAGTTTTGGTTTGGCGTATTGGGAAAGTGACAAAGGAATAAAAGCCTGACCAGAAGGGCCTGGAGGCTGAAGCCTGGTCAAAAGGGCCTGTGAGAGACTGTTTGGTGGGAATGTCATGGGAGAGCGTCAAAGGGGAGAAATTGTTAGTAGGCCATGGCAGACACACCCCTGGCCACGAGGGGGTGCCCAGTAAATGGCAATCCTGCTACAGTCATCAAGCAATACTTGGATTTCCTTCTGAAGGTGATCAGCTTGTTGTCATGTTGTCACTCAGTCTCTTAGAGCCTCATGTGTGTTGAAATCACTTTTCTCTTATCAACTACCTACTTAGTAGCATGTTGCAGTAACTGACAAACTTCCACATTTACAGATTTGGTGGAGGCATTATTCCATGCTGTGGGCTTAGTTTACGGAGCATTATCAGTGTCATCTGCATTTCAGGAATTTTGCAAGAGGCCAGCACTCCACTCACTAGTGACTACCGTACAGCTTTAAACCTTGCCACTCCTATCTAACAATTAAAAATCCTTTTTTAATATACCTCATTAAATCTAATTCAGTAAAATGGTATATGTATTTTATATTTGCTGTATGTAACTCCTTTAATGCTAAAGGATCCCAAAGCATTTTACCATTACATACATATGGTACTTCTGAAGTCCAATTGCCTTGGGGCAGACAATTGCGACAAATGAACATAGCACAATAACGTAGAGAGTGGACAAATTTTAACCAAGGACACAGACACACACAACTACCCTAATAAAAAAACAGCATAGTATCTTTAGTGGTATATTTTCTGCAGGGCTTAGACCAGCTTCTCCGTGTGGAAGCTTAACTTGTATCAGCATTTTTGCAGTCAGAAAATGAATTGTGGGTGCACAACTGTATAAATTCACCTTTATCTGATTTGCACCCATGATCAAGTTGTTAGAGGTGCTGCCTTTTAGATCTGCACCAACAACTGAATTGTGGGCATAAAAATTCTGGTACAAGTTCGGTGTGAGCAAATGGAACTTGCAACATAAGGCCACCTGTCTGAAAAGCTACCCTGTCATGTCCATGGAGAGTAGACAGGACCCTGTTTTTTAAAGTGTCATCTGGAAGGCCTACAGATTGTACTGATGGTTTTCCAGAGGCGCAGTGGTCTGGAGGGATGAGCAAATGTATGGTGTTCAGATTATGTGGCCTGGGGCAAGTCACCTAACCTCTCTGGTTTAGCTTCTCTGGCTGTAAACTGAGGCTGGCAATACTTATTTACCTACTTCACAGGGATATTCAGAGAGTTACTTAATGATTGATTAATTAATTAAGTAATGTGCTCTTTAAACATATAAAAACACTGCACTGAACCCTCAATTTAATTGTCTTGAAAGAATGAAGTGTTGAGGTGACCTTGCTGAGATTTGAACCTATAGTTTCACATAGCATAATTTTTAAAACATTAAGGACATTATTCAGTAATGTGAATGTTGGAAAAATCCACACAGAATAGCACTTTCCTTTTTTGTTTTTGTTGTTTGCGACTTCAGGTTTTCTAGAAGAAAGAAATTAGATTTTATTTAAATGATTAGATAATAATTCTACCAGGTAAGGAGTCTTTTAAACAGAATATAGTACAGTTAAGGGTATGTTAATGTTTACTGCTTTTGATAATAAATTACATTTTAGGCTTTGTATTTTTATTTCTTATCTGTTCAGCAGAAGTTGAATAATCAGAACTCAGAGAATTTCAAATTTTGGCAGTGTAGTTTTTATCAGGTCCTTTAAATAAAACTCCAAACACTCCCCCAGAGACTTACTATACAACAAATAAAGTCACAGTAATATATATGAAAGAAAAGGGTTGTACTTTTTCACTTACTCAGGTTTACAGTAATCTTAAACATATCAATTTCATACATCCAGGTCACCAGATCAGCCAATTATGTGACTTTTTTTTTTTTAGCAGAGAGTCTTATTACTGTAAACTGAAATATACAGGATCTGAATCTGTAAGATGCTAAGTGCCTCTTGTGAAATGCTGAGTGCCCTTATCTCTCATTGATCTAGCTCTGTGATGATCTTTGAAGGCACATGCATCCCTTCATCTATGTATAAATTATCAAGGAACACAGGCTAGACTGTGCCTTGTACTTACAGGCCATCATGTGGGGCCAAAAGGGCAGGGAAAAGGGTGGAAACTTGATCCCAACTTGTCAGCCAGTACTGCCCAGCCAGCAGAAGGGTATGTATGGGGGGCGGGAGAGGGGTAATAAATTGCAGCTGTTTAGGTCAGCAGCAAATTACTACATGTCTGGAGGCAGGAGGATGCAGGGAAGGAATCGTGCCCCAGCATCCCATGCTCAGGGCTGTACTTAAAGGCCCAATCTTCCCATACAACTTTTTTCCCCTTTTTCTTTTGCAAAGAAAACCAACTTTTGGATAAACCAACTGTGTGAAATTATCTAATGACAATGATTCCAATGAGGGGGCCTCCTCCACCACCATCCCATCTCCCTCCTCCATTAAGAACTTCCATTTGCCTTTATTATCCATAATAACCATGGAGTCCCTGGCTGGAACTTGTCTTGTCCTCTCACACTGCCAATGTGAGTAAAACTTTTATTGCCATGCATACCCCACTACTTCTGAACACCTCTGCTGAAATCTTCTCCCATGCCTTTGTTTCCTGTCACCTTGGCCGTTGCAGTTTCCTTTCTCTAGGACCCGCACTAGATGCCAGCTGTCCAGATTCCAGCATGTGCACAATACTACCTCCAACCTTATACATATAAAGAAGTGCAGCCACATCATGCACATCCTAAAACACCAGCTCTTCCCTCCCTTCGTTCCAATTCAAAATTGTTTCCTTGTTCATAAAACCTTTCACAGATTTGCTTCAGCCTCTCTCAAGGGACTTGTTTCTCAGTACTTCTTGTCCCTGCCCCCTCAGCATTGGCCTCTGTCATTCCACACACTGTTGCTACAGTTGGCTCGAGAGACCTTACCCTGCATCTCCTGTTCTGAAACAGCTTTCAGTATCCCTCCACCTAAAGCACTCTCCCTCCGATGTCAAATCTCACCTGAAAGTACAGCTTTTCTCTTGATTTCCTCCCTTTATTTCTGCCTCTTTTCTCCTATCCGATTCTAAAACTCTGTAATTGTATTAAGACTACCTCTCCAAAAAGCATTTTTGAGAAGAAGTTTGTATCAAAGCTGCTGTACAAATAAATATGTTCTTTTTATCTTTCAGATACACACAGGAAATAAAATGGTATATTTTCCAAATAACTACTAACCTTGTTTCAATTTTTTTTTAAAGTGAAATCCCTTCAATGACTTAATTCTTACTGACCATTATAAGTAATGGTAATAATGTTTTAACTCCTGTACAGAAAAGGAAAATGCTTAGCAAAAACAGAATAATGATGTAATATAAATATTGACAGAGGCAGAGCAGAGGCTAATGTAAATGAGGGGAATGACCCAGTTTGCTGGGGCTCAGAAGCCGACAGCCGTCACTATCTGACATTTGTGCATATATTTCTTGAAATAAAATATTCTCTTTTGCATTTTTCAAATGCAAAAGAGAAGTAGATGTAATGAAATGCATCATGCCTCTTTGGCAAAATAATATCCTAATGTGAGGATTGTGCAATAACCCTTAGGAAAAAAATTATAGCTTTTGCCTTCTAAATGAGCCAATATTACAGATTTACTTGCAGCCAGATGCCTTACTTGCAGCCAAATGCCATTTCTATCCAGAGATAACGAGAAAATACCAACATTCCATGGCTCTTATTCACATCAAGGCATTGTGTGGTCATTGTTACAGTACACTTCCAAGGATCTCCCAAGATCTTTCAATAAATCAATACAGAGTGAAAGGAAAAGTTTTTTTGTGACAGCAACATAGTGCAACAAGACATAACAGTAGGGCAGTGTGCTGTAATGGAGAATACATCAAGTTGTCTCGTGCAAGTGAAGCAACGTGGACCTTTTTAATAATCTCCAAGTAATCTGCATTAATACAGCCTTACTGCAGTGTACTGCGGTATCAGGAAACATTTCACTGTTGCATCATGATGCAATGCAACCTGATCACATCTGTTATTTCCCAGATAATGAAGAATGTACTCATGTACTCTCAGATAATGCCTGTACCCTATGCTGTTAAACGTTCTATTTATAATGTAATACTACAGAATAATTCTATCACATTATTAAAAAGGTGGGATGAAATATCTCATAACTAAAAAACCACCACCACTATTCTTTTTCTGGGTTAGACACACCACCCACCATCAGTTTTATCCAGAAAAAAAACCCTAGATCAACTAAAAATGGATTTCCACAATCTTAAAAGTCTACTAAGGAGTTATATAACAATTTAGTGATAAATGGGCTGAATTCCATACATTATTTTATCCATACTTACTCAAGGAATCACAATTAGGTTTCTCTCTATAAACTTAGATGATCTTGTAGTGTATTTTAAATCTAGGCACACACTTGTATCCATACCTTTTGTTATATAAAAGCATAAACAACACTGCAATTTGATTTACATAAAGTGCATTTGATTATTAATAAAAAGTTTGTAAAATATTTCTCTGAATTGTGTGTGTGCATGTAAGCCACATAAAATGAACACAAATTTATTTACCAATGAGTCCTAACTTTTTAGGATCATACTGGTAAATATTATTGCATAATATTACCTAAATGTACATGTATTTTTCATGGTGTATTTTTACAATGTAATAAGAGATTTGTATTGTACTTGTGCATAATTTCTGAAAGATAATTCTTAAAGTATTATGCCTTCAGTTACAAATACTGAAACATAGTTGTTATATACATTAACAGTACATAGGATCCATTTGGTTTCTTCATCCCAACCTAACAGTGTGCAATGAAGCTCACTGGAGGTGACATTTGCTGCAGCATATTGCAGTTTACTGCAGGAAGCCAGCATACATGGTATTCTGATATAACTGATTTTGCTGCAGCACCCCACAGCACCAGGGAATTTCCCAACGGGCTTTAATAGCTAAAATATTTTAGCTAACTGTGTAAATTATACCTCTCTTACAATATACGCTGCATGTATTTTATAACACTAAAAAACGATATTCTGTATGAAGGACAGCTACACAATCTCTTCAGTACTCAGTCAGTTATTGCACTAAACCAGGCAACGGAAATAAACCTCCCTGCAAAAGATGAGGTATCAAAATGCAGTAATATACATAACAATTATTCATTTAAAATATTTTTTCAATTCCGTGTATATCGTTATAGACCTTTCAGGAAACTGGTTTTGACTTGTGTCCCTGCGTTTGCTCTGTACCCTGCACAGCAAACCTTGTAGCAGTGAAAAGAATACCAGACACTTAGTGAGGCTCTCCCCTCCCCCCAACATTTGCTTAAAACAGAATTGACTCTGAATCCGAATCGAAGTTCTTGGGAATGCAGCTCACACACCAGCACCCTTGAAACCTGCGAACACAGAGAGGGCAAGGGCAGACAAGCTATTTTTTTGTTTTGTTTTGTTTTAGGATGACACCAAGATAAATCTGCCCCTACCAAAAGGAACTTCTCTTAACGCGTGCCAAAGGCAGAGAGTGGGAGACAAGCGGTCGTAGTGGATTTACTAGAGCAAGCAATGCTTTCGCTGAGC